GTGACAGAAGACCAACCGATGCGCTTCAAGCATACTGGCGATGTATATATCTGTCATTTCTTATGTGTGGCTTCGGGCAGTGGCAGAGTTATTTCTAAAACAGTGGCAGAGTTATGCTGTCACGTTTTTAATGACTTTGGTTTCCCCCGAGTACTATGTTCTGATAACGGTAGTCAGTTTTGTACCAATAATGGAGGCACTTATACTCGTATCAGGCATGACCCATAGGCGTGGTGTTCCTTATAAACCTGAAACGCAGGGTACAAATGAGACACGTCATAGAGAACTAAAGAAGCTATTGCGTACCGCACTAGATGACGTTGAGGATATGTAGCCTTATCATTTGAAATGGGTTCAGACTCAAATGAATAACTGCATAAATCCTCAAACTGGAACACTCCCGTTTCACTATTTCTTTTGCCGCTATAGTGAATTACAAGCAACGTTCGAAAAAACCGCGTCCGAGAAACACGTTACTCCGTGGCTACAAAAGATCGAGCATATGCAGAATGTTGTTTACCCCTGTTTACTCGAGCACAAAAATCGTGTCCTACTTAAAGCGTATGACCGATGGAATAACACTAAGAACATTGTTCAGTTCAAAGTTGGCGATTATGTTAATACTATAAATCGCAATGCCAACGTTACCGAACTCTCTTCTAAGACAATTGTATCTATTGTTATTTCCTACCATGATGAGAAGAGTGATACTTACGAAGTGAATAACATAGATGGTACTAGCGCAACTAATCTAGACACTCACCGTATCCCTACCTCCGAACTCTCATTTGCTCACTCATTTGATTCTGATGTCCCAGTTATGGAGTCACAAGTCAAAGATATAATTGACAAAACATCCGAAGACGGTTACACTTACTACAAGACCCGTTTTATGGATGGGACAGTAGCTTGGCTAACCTCCGATGCGTTTCGTGAATCTCGCGACTTCCTTCGTATTTTCAATAAGAAATGGAATAAGTGTTTACATAAGAACACACGAGATAAACGGAAAGGGTTTCTCAGGTGACTACAAACCCGGATGGATATGAAATTCCCTATTTGCCACTTACTTCCTATGTGACTAAACTTTCTGATCTGCTTACCAACAGAGCAGAAAATTCTTCGAGCTTACATACTAATGAAGAACAACCTTTGGCTATAACCTCACCAAGTTATAAACGTAAGACGCCTACATCGGAAATGGTTACTGAACCAAATACTAAACGACATAGAGTACAACATGAGTCTTGAACTCGTATATATAGGCACATACTTACTCGATAAGCCATGACCAAACCCGTTTTACTTTGGTTTTCGCTTTACGAACTAGATCGTACCTTCACGTACGTCCGTAGTCCTAAAAGCTACTGGGCGCTATATAGAAATACGGCCTCCGGTCAGTCTAAAATATCAAGATCAAATGAGATAACACATTGGTTTTTATTTGTATTTAAAAAAATTTAATACAAGTTCTTTTTCCAATATTTCCAAAGTGTTCTAAATTCACTTTGATGGCTCAAATAGCCTGAGTATTTGGTATGACTCATTTACTTGGACCTATTTGAGACGATAGTAGATGTAGGAAATTATAAACTATCTAGGCCGACCACTCGATGCAAATCCTTGTTGGTTCTTGACAGTGGTCAGTCAATCATGAGTCTTTGCTTGTCTGGGTCTGTTTTGAACCCTTATGTTGTGACATTGGCGCCTAGTATGCTGTCTCGTCTTTCTTCACCGCGAATGCACTTTTGTTGTAGTACAGTCTGAAATTGGCTGCGTTGTGCCTTCTAATGACTTCACGTACTGGTTTCCAATATTCGTCCTCCATGAGGCTAGCGATGGCTATGATATCTCCATATATTTGTATGCCTTCAATGTCAATGGATAGGTTTGCCATTCCTCCTTGAAGTTGTGTCGTCAGCGAGTGTCTGTAGTTCAAATTGTGCTGACTTAAATGAATATTGCGTCTGTGCTTCTCCATGAAAATGTGAAGAAGTGTCTACTATTGTCATGGACTAGGAAATGATGGAATCTTTCTGTTAGGCCCAGTTCGGAAAATAATTGTGCATCTTGCGGGTTGCGACAGACCGATAATGATTCACGGAAACCGACAAAGTAGTATAAGAAACAGTGACTCCGCTTTTGCACCCGTTGGTATAAAAGTACTGATTATACCTGCTAGATATATGTCCGGCTATGGTAAAATGTCCATGCCTATTTAAAAGTATCATCGGTACTTTTATTGGGGAGGTCCAGTATCTCAAAGCAATTAAACATTTTTCTTCCACCGTAGTTGATGTCACACACTACTTGAGGGGAGCATGTACGTTGTACTCGTTCATTAAATTGTGCTAATTGTATATAGCCATGTTGTAATCTAACTGACGAGTATCATTCTGTATGAGCGATCGACTCCTGAATTGACTAGTACATTGTATGTAGTGTCATTGATTTGTACGTTTGTGCAATCTTTGATCTCTTGGGTCAGGAACTGAAAAATAAAGTGTATAGACAATATCATTTTTCTCATCAGTGCGCGCATTCACTGTAAATTTCAATAATGTTTGTCATGTTAGACTTCGCCCACCTGAAGTACCTTGTTTTCATAGGTAGTGGTTCACAAACTGGTCTACATGGGGGATTGAGGTTACTGTGCTGTGCAAGCTGCAGTCTTTGGCGGTTGTTTTCTTCCTTCTTGGAACACTTGCGGAACACATTAGGAGAATAGTCTACACCAGTGTGGGCAAGTTCTTGTTACCCTATCCTATGGGATATAATTGGCCCTGACCTGAGCCTGGCGGTAATTTTCTTTGAGGTGGTCTCCCTGTTGCTGTGTCGAGTCTTGGATGACTTACTCGTTGGCCTAGTATGAATGCACTTTGTAGTCGCTTGCGTTCTCGATTGCGGGTAGCTTGCGGTGATTGTTACTTGACTGATAAGACTTTTTATATGTTTAAAAGCATGATTCTGCCTTTACTAATGTAGAATAGCTAGTCAATTTCATCTTAAGATCCAGGTGTCAAATGCTAAGTGTCAAAGCTTAGATTCATTGTCAACCTTTACATTTTTTAAGGTTTTATATGGTGTTCACTTGGCTGTTCGAATCTATTCGACAAACTATATGTCGCCGAGAGGCATCTCTGGACTAGTACGACATAGCGATCAATATCTACCTCTCTGTTTGCTTGCATTAATTCTGTAAACTTCCTTGGATATTACTAAGTTTCAAATTAGTTAGATAAACGACCAAAGGTACAATTTAAGTCTGTCGGTTAAGATGTAGCAGTGATAGCTTGTGTAAGAATAATCGCGACTGCCTCTTGGCAAGAGCCTTAATGTCCTCTAAAATAATAAGAATGCCCTTACCAAGAATCAGTCCCGATTATTCGTACACAAGCTACCGACTAAAATTGTATCCTAGTTTATTTAACATAGTTTGAAACTTAGTAATGTGGTCAAAACCAAGTAACACTTAGTAAAGAGTGTTAAGTCTGAAGTAAGTGAACTTAGTCAGAAGTGCCATTGGTAATGGCGCGCCTGCTATATTTATTAATCACGATCCTATGTGGAACGAGACTTTCTCTACCATCGGGTTATGTAAAAATACCCGTCTCTATGGTTTCGAATGAGTCATCACTTCTGTCTCATTAAATTCTCTATTCCACTAATCGGTCCGGTCCTCTGGTCCGGTCCTCCAATAATCCTCTAGGTCCGGTCCTCTGGTCCGGTCCTCACGTCCTAAATATCCGCCTAGGGTACTTTGTCCACAGTAATATCCATCGCTTACAACGCGTCACCATCGTTCAGGCCTACATACATCACCATGGTATGGTATCTATTCCCTCGACCGCAAAATTATACTGCCGCTTGTGTAAGGTACTGAATTGATCTACAATGGTACAACGTATTTACAACATTTGTTGATCGTTTCAGAGATATTATAATACACACCCAGTCGTCCATCCGTTCTTGTGTACTTGTATACCAAGTGAGGCATGGCACAATATACAACTCCCTGACTCTTGCAATGTGCTATTTCTATAACATCTCCAGAGTCCTATGTAAATACCTTGTTGTATAACATCTTAAGAAAGATTGTCGCCTTGCTTATACATACATACTCTGTAACAGCTCTGAAGAATCTGGATCTTTCATAAACGTCACATCCGGCAGGTTCATACAACGATAGTATTGTCTTAATCACACGCTTGATATTCGCAATAAGAGGGTATCAAGCTCTAACTGCATCTTGCAAAGCAGCAAAAGAAAAGCCAACTGGAGCCGACTTATCTGTGCGTCGCCATGGCAACTAAACCCTAAAACGTGCCGTGAAAAGCAACATATCGTTACTGGTGAAGTAAACCTCGTAACCTCGCTCGCATACACAGCAATCTGCTTCCTTCCTTAACACACACTCTAGGAGGTTCTCTGTGGAGCCCCATTACCCCCGTCCACTGCGTCATGTTGAGGAAGAATGCGACGCCACAAGGAAAAAAAAATCCGTTGCATAGTCTGAACTCTGATGAATAGCAGTTTATTTTGGATAAAATATATTTATTGGGATAATATTATTCATTTCAGAAGAAGATAAGTTACAATGTATGTATGTTATAATGTATGTATGTTATAATGTATGAATATATGGTATGGCTCTCATAGCCGTTGTAGTGGTTCGGGAAAGATCGATTTATAGCCTCCCCTAATTTTATTATTATCAGAAAGTGAGAAAACACGACATTCTATAGTTCGAGACCTTCCATTGGGTGTTAGATGATGACTTGCGCATAGGGATAATATTATTTATTTCAAAAATGGCAAGTATGTATGATACAATGTATGAACATATGGTATGGCTCTCATAGTCGCTGTAGTGGTTCAGGAAAGATTGATGGGAAGAAGTGGTCAGTAAATTCCCCTGATAGCATTGTGGAAATTTGGAAATTGGAATCAATATTTTAAAAAAATATTCATTTGTTGACATTTTGGTATTTGTACTTATTAAAAAAAAACAGATATATTTACGTATTTATGGATGTGTCCGTCAAGGTACAGCGTATTCCTATTCCACAGTTTCACTAAATCCACTTGCTTGCAACAACCCTAATCTTATTGAATCTTTCCACCACTATGCCGAATCCTAACATGGAGCCTGTGCAGGTCGAAAGCCTTTCGAAACAACTTGCGGACTCTAAACTCACGGTAAAGATACAAGCTTTCTGCCACCAATATTTGTCTTACAACACATAGCTGCCGCCTCATTATATATCAACTGGCATCACTCTAGTGTTGCTTATTAATGCTTTGACAGCGTCCGCGATTTTGGCGTCGATATGTGATCAACTTTCTGAAGCCGAGACAGGTGATTCTGATTTCCCAGGTTCCCTGTTCTCGTTGAGTCCTTAGGGTTGCCCTTTTGTACCCACAAAGTCGGAAAGAGTGTTTTGCGATCATGAACCCCACAGCGTTTTGTATGTATATATTAGGCTCCATGTCGATATGACATGTTTTCAATCTTCACACCCATCACTAATTTGTTCTGAGAAATGCTTGGGGTTCAATGTCTTGTACGAATTGCGTCGCACGTTTTAGAAGGGAGTTGGATGCAAGGGGGGACCGAAGCGTTCGCCGCAACGAGGACGTTTTTGTGTTCACTGTTGCGCTATTAATGCTTCGTAGCCAGCGATTCTGAAAGTTCTGGATGAAACTTCCGCAATCATTAATACACAGCATATATCCTTAGTCGATTCCGTAAGCGATTTATCAGTCACTCAGACGCGTGGTGGCCACTCGCCCTGTGCTGGCTTGGAACGGAATACCTGTATATATGTATATGCATATGTCCGAAGGTAAACGATAAAGTTATGTACACTTGCGCGTGTATATATGCAGTCGACGTATGTCTTTTGTGATGCGTAAAGTGGTCTAACATAGTTCCGTATTGCCCTATCTTAGCACTCTGAAAGCACTATAGACAATAAAAAGGCACCGGACCAGAAAGATCAAGGCCACCGACGGGTGAGCTTACAGGTGGCCGACAGTACCGAGAGAGGTCGTAGCGAATCCCCCAACTGGCGCGATCGTCAACCGCAGGTATTTGACGTTGCACACTCAGTTTATTTGGTTTTTTTCAATAGCACGTCTTGTATGTTTGATTCTGAAAATCGAATAGTCATCGTTTGTGTAAGTATGTTGCAATATGTCAATATGTTAACGACGTATATTGTAATATGATAACGTAGTAGTCACTGACAATGATGTTTATGGGATTTTTTCTGACCGCAGCCAAGCAACCGGTCGCAGAGTCGCGGCCGCGCAGTGCGGAATGAAGAATATACGACAACACGCAGTCCTTCCGGAAACTGGAGAGAGAGGGGCAGTTCACCTGGACAAGCACGTACGCAACAACCAACAAATACACAAACGCGTATGTCTCGCAATACAAGTTACGGCCGCAACAGTAACGGTAGCAGCAAACGTAGACAGAGCAGAGACGGCAGCGCCTCATGTAGAAATAACAGCAGCACACGTAAAGAAGGCAACAATACACACAGAGACAGCAGCAATACCCGCAGAGACAGCAGCAGTACACGCAGAGATTGTAGTCGCACTCGCCACGTGACGCTACTGGAGAATCCTAATCACCATGATAATCGAGGTATGCCCGGTAACGAAGTTATATGCATGATCATGCTCATCACCAAATAGACACAACACTTACACTCACACTTAACTAAGTACACAATTGCACACACACACACACATACAGAACATACAAACATATACACACACACTCACACACACTCACACTCACGCACACACATACACACACACACACACACACTCTCTCTCTCTCTCTCTCACACACACACACACATACATATATGCATACATATGTACACACACAAACACACAGCATACATATGTACACACACAAACACACACACACACACACACACACATATATATGCATACATATGTACACACACAACACACATATATATATGCATACATATGTACACACACACACACACACACACACACACACATATATATATATATATAATTATATATACATATATATATGTATACATCCATCAGGAAAGATGGATGATAGAGAGCTCCATCTGGAATATACATACATACATACATACATACATATATCTATATATATATATAATGTATGGGCTTGTTGTACAATTTCTTCACATATTTGTTGCTATTAACAATATATTTGTGTTTGATTGGACTATTTCTGGATGAAAAGGTCGCTCCCTAAGCCCCGGGCGTGGAAAGAAAGAGTTGGCATTCAATAATTGTCGAAAAGCGATTGTGGAGAACAAAGGTGCTGACAAGGTGTGGATTGTGTAATTTGGAAGCGAATTCGAATCTCTCGGTGAGAGTATACGTTTCAATTGACAAGCTAGGAATGCACTACCTGTCGCAAACTTTCCGTCATACCTGGACATGGCATTATATAAATGCTTTTCATCATTTTATTTAGGGGCCGCTCATTCGCCTGTGAAACTGAATTCATCTGTTGCACACGATCGCATCTACAACGTAGAAACAATCCTCAAAAACATATATCGACCTGCATGAGCATTCTCACCTTTATTGTGACGTGCTAATGCCCAAGATGTACACAACAACCGAGGAAGTTTGTTGCATTCGCCTACCCATTGTTCTCATGTATTGTTTAAGCAACTCATATACACTGACCATGTGCGAAGAGCAAGACACCACAAGCCCAGAGACAAACAGAGTGACGAGTGCGCATTCAAACCTGTAGATAGATCAGTGCACAAATACTGATCGTCGTTGCCTTTTACGTACGGCGCTCACAGAAATCAACCACATGTGACGATCAAGTACTGCATGATTGTTATGGGTGCCTGGCAGGAGCTACAATTGAACAAAATATGTGCAACTAATCGATGGCCAAGTTTCAGTAACGGGGTCTTTTCGAGTCTTGAAATTATTGTTTGAATTTCTACGTTTTAAACAGGTTCGAGAGGAGATAAAGAAGGGAGATGTGACAGATGTTAATGAGTTGACATTTTTCGGTCACTCCGGTAGCGACGGACAGACTCTTATGATGGTCAGCTGTAAGTATGGACGTGAGGGCATTGCGAAAGTGCTGCACGAGGAGCTGGGAGCAGATTTAAACATACAGGTGAGCTTTCTTACCATAGCTCTCTGTGTATCTGCAATTGAAGCGCTTAGTCTGCTGAAATCGATAGCAACCTCCAATTCCCAGTTCTGTGAGAAAGCCTTGTACCCGAGTCACGCAACCTCTCTCTGTCAGACCCATGCATGTGTATGCCTCCGATACCTTATCGCGTCTCAACCCCCGCGTGCACCATCTGTTTCCTTATCGCAGGGAGGATTGGGACGCTTCAATTGTTTGCACTACGCCTGTTGGCACGGTCACCCCAAGCTGGTACAATATCTTCTTGAACAAGGCTGCGACTACTCAGCACTCAATGCCGACGGTGAGACCCCTCGAGAGTCAGCGAAAGGGCGAGCCAAGCCGAATAACATGGAGTGTGTCGCTGTTATAGAAGCATGGGAGGCTAAGAAGGGTATGTGTCTGACTGTCTGTACGCATGTGCATGCATCAAACGACAATGCAAACTCAAGTAGATTACGATGCATGAGCATATATCGGACTTGCGCCTATCTAGGAACACCCTTGGTTCCTGTAGATACCCAATTTGTATTGTTGATGTGTTTGCTGTTCGGGTCTTGGTATGGTATATGAATGCAATAGCTTAGCGCGCGTAGTGGGACCTTTCAGGCTCTCGTTTGACGTACAATTTAGAAGCGAAATCGGCATGCATGCCCACGTGGCACAATTATAAGCCATCGTGTGGCAGCCAGCAGAGAACTTAACACTAGTATATGGTGTGAAATCACCTGCGCACCCTCTGTAATAAGGTTCTCACAATCACCTGCGCATTCTCTATAATGAGGTTCTTACCTATGATACTCAATCTCTCGACATTCAATAATTTAGCGGAGAAGGATAAAACAACTGAAGAGCCAGTGGACACCGCTGATTCGCTGACGAGCGACAATCCTATTCAGGCCACCGCATGATAAGTAGCATGTTGTGACCTGCTATTGGCTCCCGTGTGAATATTTTAGAACAAAGTAATAAGAGCGGAATTGGTATATAAATAAACGGTAATAAATCGGTCATCATTTATTGCTCCCTTATTTCTTAGTTGACCTGACTTGGAGTTCATCAACTGAGATGTTAGCTATCGAAAGCAACCCTTAATTCCTCATAGCTCGAGGTTCATAATAGTCGCGTAGTAAAATCTGAGATAGATGAAAAAGGAGCCCGGGTTCCACAGCAAATTGGGTGTTGCAAATGAATGCACAAGTTACTAAAGTAGCTGTGCAAATTTAGAGTGTCCGATTCAAGCAACATTTACAATTACTGGTATTTTTATATATTGTTTACTTATCTATGATCTAGCTTCGTGGGATTTTCTATTAATATAATTTTTAAAGTTGTCTATATCGCTATGACTTCATACTCATCGAGGGCACAGTGAGTTCCACAGCAACAGAATCGAGCTGTTCTGGAATATGATCCCCCACAGGTAGATCCTGAGGCACTGTTATACTTACAAGCACCTCCCTCAATACCTGGAATATCTGAATATCTTCCACTTCCCGATATAGCACAGGCATGATTGAGAGCAGCACCGACGAACTTCAGCTCGGCGGTCGAATCCAAAGCGTTGAGCTTGTCCACTTGGCATGTTCCACCCACACTAGCACACACGGCGGAACAGCTCTGGCCCAACCCTCCAAGATGCCAATCATATGTTGTAGAAGCCGCCTCGCAACAAAGCGTATCAGTGCAACCCATACCACCTTCACAAACGATTCTTCCGCCGTCTGGCAAGGCCTCTCCGTGCATACAGATGTGCGTATCACACGTGGGGAAGATATCACAGCACTCGCGCTCTTCACAACCATCGGGTCCGAAACACTGAATGTACGCGGCAGCTCGCAAGAGTGGTCCTCCAGTACATTCGAAAGTATCACAGGTGGGCCATGGTTCACAGCAAGTGTCATCGTCGCAGCCATCACGCCCAATGCAGTCCACCCTCGCAGCGTCTCTGACAGATGTACCAGATGTGCACGTGTGGGAGTCACACGTAGGCCACGGGTCACAGCAAGTAGCGTCATCACAGCCATCACGTCCGGTACAGTCGACTAACTCGGCATCTCTGACAGACGTACCTGCGGTGCAAGTGTAGGAATCACATGTTGGCCATGGATCACAGCATGTGCGATCCTCACATAGCATAGACCCGCAGATAACAGTGGCGGAATCCAGGATAGCAACTCCTTCTCTGCACTCATGAGTGTCGCAAGTAGGCCATGGATCGCAGCACGTTGCCTCATCACATCCGTCACGCCCAGAGCAATCGACAATTTCTGCATTTCTGACCACGTCACCACCGGTACAGGTGAACGCATCACACGTAGGCCATGGTTCGCAACAGGTGATATCGTTGCAGCCATCTGCACTTGTGCAATCGATATCGCGAGCTGTATCCCAAAGCGAACCGGAAGTACAGACATGCGTGTCGCAAGTTGGCCATGGGTCACAGCACGTTGCTTCATTGCAACCATCTCCATCCATACATTCAAGCAGCTCTGAGTTTCTGAGAGGTGTACCCCCAGTGCACGTGTACGAGTTACACTTTGGCCATGGCTTGCAGCAAGCGTCGGTACAACCATCAGCCTCCTTGCACTGGATCATGGGAGCGGCATCCCACAATGTTCCAGAAGAACACGTATGTGTGTTGCAAGTAGGCCATGGATCACAGCATGATCCTTCGTCGCAGCCATCGGCCCCGGTACAATCGACAGTGTTGGCGTCTCTAACAGATGTACCTCCAAGGCAGATGAAAGTGTCACATTTGGGCCATGGAACACAGCAGAGGTCATCGTCGCAAGCACCAGATCTACAATCAACCGTAGCTGATTCTGCCAATACTCTGCCAACAGTGCATGTGTGGGTATCACATGTAGGCCACTCATCACAACACAATGCCTCATCACAACCGTCATCTCCTGTGCAATCAACAGTGTTTGCATCCCGAACAGCGTTACCGACTGTGCATGTGAAAGAGTCACAGGTTGGCCAAGGATCACAGCAGAGGTTATCGCCACATATGCCAGACTTACAGTTGACCGTTGCTGGCTCCGCAATGGGTTTCCCGGCGGTGCATGTATGAGAGTCGCATGTAGGCCACTCATCGCAACACAAAGCTTCATCACATCCGTTGTGCCCAGTGCAATCGACAATGTCCGAGTCTGAGATGGCATTGCCGGCAGTACAAGTGAAGGAGTCACACGTTGGCCATGGGACACAGCACAGGTCATCGTCACAGGTACCAGACTTACAATCGGCCAATTCTGATTCCGCAATGGGCTTTCCTACGATGCATGTGTGAGTAGCGCAGGTTGGCCATTCATCACAACAGGTAATTTCGTCACAACCGTCACGTTTGGTGCAATCGACAGTGTTGGAGTCTGTGACCGGGTTGCCCTCAGTACACGTGAAGGAATCGCACGTTGGCCATGGATCACAGCAGGTACCATCATCACAACCATCGGCTCCAGTGCAATCAATTGTCTCTGCCGCTAATATAATACTACCAGATGTACAGGTGTGTGTATTACATAGAGGCCACGCGTCACAACAGGAAAGATCGTCACAACCATCTGCACCAGCACAGTCTCTGTTTGCAGCATCGACCTTGATACTTCCCGAAAGACATGTATGAGTATCACATGTAGGATGGGGAACACAGCACGCGAAATCGTCACATCCATCGCTGCCTGTACAATCAGTTGTCACGGCGTTCTCGCCAAGTAGACCTGAGGTACATGAATGGGCGTCACATGTGGGCCACGGGTCGCAACAAGTTGCTTCATCGCACCCTTCACTTCCGGTACAGTCCACAGAAACCGAGTTTACGACAGGCGTACCATCAGTGCAGGTGAAGGAATCACAAGTGGGCCAAGGATCGCAGCATGCGGCATCATCACAAGCACCAGTCACACAGTCGACAAACTCAGGGATCCTCACAGATGTGCCTGCATTACATGTATGAGTATCGCAGGTAGGCCATGGAACGCAACACGTGGTTTCAGTGCACCCGATACGACCCTTGCACTCCAAGGTCTCCGAATCTGGGATAGCAGTACCATCAGTGCAAGTGTAAGCTTGACACAAAGGCCATGGCTTGCAGCAGCCCGCGTCGTCACAACCATCGGTTCCTGTACAGTCGATGCTGTCGGCAGCACCCAATATAGAACCGGAATCGCACACATGGGCATCGCAGGTAGGCCAGGGCTTGCAGCAGGTGACATCGTCACATCCGTCACTACTTGTGCAATCAGTGATGCTGGCAGCGTCTATGAAGGTACCGGAGCCACACTCATGCGAGACACACTTAGGCCAAGGCTTGCAGCAGGTACTGTCGTCACAACCGGTAAGGGCCGTGCAATCAATGAGGTCAGCAGCGCCAATTAGAGAACCTGAATTGCACACATGTTCTTCACAAGTAGGCCATGGAATACAGCATGTCTCGTCGTCACAGCCATCAAGGCCTGTGCAATCGATAATGTTGGCGGCCTCCAGAATAGAGCCCGAACCACACTCATGCGAGTCACACATAGGCCAAGGCTTGCAGCAGGTAGCGTCGTCACAACCATCACGCCCGGTGCAATCGATGACGTCCGCGACGTCCACTAGAAAACCGAACGTGCATACGTGAGCATCGCACGTAGGCCATGCAACGCAACACGTCTCGTCGTCGCAGCCTGCCTCGAAAGCACAATCCGTACCGGCCGCGCTGGCTCCCAGTGTTCCCGTTGCACATTCATGAGCAGCACACGTGAATGGAACACAGCATGTCAAATCGTCACAGCCTAGAGGTCCATCACAAACGAGTTCAGCAGCGATAACGATGATGACGCCCGAGTTACATACGTGGGTGTCGCACTTCGGCCTAGGCTTGCAGCAGGTGGCATCGTCACAACCATTAAGGCCTGTACAGTCGATGATGTCGGCAGCTTCCAGCAATAAACCGGATGCGCATGTATGAGACTCGCAAACAGGCCATGCAACACAGCATGTTTCATCGTCACATCCTGCTATACCAACACAGTCTTTGCTGGCTGCGCCGGCTTCCAGTGTTCCTTGGGTACATTGATGCGCGACGCAAGTGGGATAAGGAACGCAACACGTCAAGTCGTCGCAACCGGAGGGGCCGTTACATACAAGCTCAGCGGCAATCTCATTTTGGGTACCTGAGGTACATACGTGGGTGTCACACTTCGGCCAAGGATTGCAGCAGGTGGCATCGTCACATCCATTAAAGCCTGTGCAATCGATCATATCGGCAGCTTCCAGCAATGAACCGGATATGCATGTATGAGACTCGCAAACAGGCCATGAAACACAGCATGTTTCATCGTCACATTCTGCTTCACCAACACAATCTATTCTGCTTGCGCCGGCTTCCAGCAATCCTTGGGTACAAACGTGGGTGTCGCACGTAGACCACGCATCGCAGCAGGTCTCCTCATCACAATCGCCGAGCCCCACGCACTTGATCGAATCGGACAGAGATCTGAGCAGTCCTGATGTGCACCTAAAGGTGTCGCATGTTTGCTCACAACAAGTATTATCATCACAGACATTGTCGCGGCATTCCATGCGCTCCGCATCAGTAATCAACTGCCCAATGGCACACAAGTGACTATCACAGGTAGTAGGTGCGATTATGACGGGCTCAATCCTAACTTCATCTACGGGTTCTTGCTCAACTACTGATGCTTGTGTAACTGTCAGCGGTTCAACTTCGGTTGCTTCTTCCACAGCAGCAGGTACGTCACCACTACTGCAGAAACACAGACGTTCAACAGTGTCGAATTTACCAAGACAGTTGAACATAACAGATCCATCGGCTGTACCATAGTTGTCAGAGATTTCGCAATTACCATTGCCAATTCCGGGCAGTGAATAGTAATCCTGATCGTTAGCTCCACTGGGACACACTCCTCCGTTATTCTCAATGATAGACACCACGGCATTCGCACCACCACCAACTGCCCATACTGCACGTATCATAGATACTGTCATATTGACATTGCAATCCTGATCGCGACCAGTGCAGACATCCTCACAACTCTGTCCGGCAGCACCAAGAACAAACTCATTATCAAAAGTGAGTGTTTGAGCCTCTGGTACTTGCTCAACGTCTGGTGGTTGCATAACTGACATTGGTTCAACTTCTGTTGCTGCTTCAACCGCAGGTACAACAAAGTCAGCACTATTGCAGAAGCATAGACGTTCAACAGTGTCGAATTTTCCACGGCAGTTGAACATAACAGATCCATCAGCTGTACCATAGTTGTCGGAAATTTCGCAATTACCGTTTCCGATTCCGGGGAGAGAATAGTAATCCTGATTGTTGGCTCCATAAAGACATACACCTCCATTATTCTCAATGATAGATACCACGGCATTTGCATCACCACCTGAAGCCCATGCTGTGCGTATCATAGAAACTGTCGTGTCGACATTGCATACCTGATCGCGACCGTTGCAGACATCCTCACAACTCAGTCCGGCAGTACCCATAACAAACTCATTCGCAAAAGTGGGATTCTCGGCAACTAGTTTGTTTGAGGAGTCGGTCGGAATATCACCTTCTGCGGTAACATCGTTTGCACCTGCAGTGCAACATAAGTCTACGTTGCATCCATTATCACATGTTATACCAGCTACGTCAGCTAAACTAGTGTAGCCGGTAGGACAGACGTACGTATCACAGAATCTTTGAATGAGACCAAAAGAACGAGGCACGATTGTACCTTCTCGTTTACGATTGCAACAAATTGATTCGTTTGCCGGTATCTGTGCAGAGGCTCCTGCGATAATAAGCAAAACACCTATTGAGGTAAACTTTTTACCTAACATTATATATGAATACACCTATTTCTCACTATGTAGTTAAAGAGGTTCACAACCTGACATCCACTATCACTGCTGAATTTCAGCCTCGTCGTGGATGAATGAACGGCCTAACTCCAGTCAGTTTCTCTTTTGAATGTCCAAACTTCAAACTACACTAGGTATATTAAAGTGATTTTTAAAATCTATGGATCCTGGAGATACAATAATACACCTGCAAAGCACGGAGTTCAAAATTCCAGAATCAAACACTGGCGAAACAAATTGTTTTAAAAATACAGTAATAGAAATGAAAACAGGAGTAGTACTTTTTAACGTATAACGAAAAACCAAATTATGCATTTTAGGAGAAAGTACAAAGAGAATATGCATTTTGGTTGTTTTGTTTAAAAAAAACAAACAAACAATAAAGATTACTTTACTGTTTGGGTTTGTTTATTTTTGTTTTTTTAACATTGTTTTCCTTTTGTTAAAAAAAAAATAGAAAAGAACAAATATATTATTTGTAGAAAAAAACATAGTACATGTCAAACCAGCACTATCTCAATAACGTTCTATTTGTTTTAAAAAAAAACAAATATTCATTTATTTTATATATAAATAAATACATTATTTATTCACCACTGACGAGCACTCAACGACTCACGAAAATGTGAATTGACGACGGTCACGCCCGCATGGTGATGGGACGTTGGGTCTGTGTTTGGAACGAAATGCTTCTTTTAAATTCTTCGTTTTAAGGCCAAACATATCCGAACGGAGGCTAGATTTATTTGAATTTTCAATTTATTTGAAATTCTCCGAAAAACTGGAATCTGGATTTGGGTCTCGAGTCTAGACTCTCTCGGTCTCTAGAGCCGAAATCAAGTGTCATCGTAGCGGAAATCGTAAATTTAGCGTAGACTCAAATCCCGTGGGCCATGGAAATTCAAAAAACCACACAAAAAACAGATTTTGGTGTTTTCCGCTTTGTAAATATTTATTATCCCATTATATGTCTACCTTTTTATATGTCCAGTGTTCAATAGGTGCGAGTCAGGCCCTTTTTTGGGCCGGTCCATCAGCCTTCCTCTACTACAATGAGGTCTCAACGCTTGAGACTCGGAATCTGCACTTCCGAAGTCTTTCGTATATTTGTTAATATGTACCATTCACAACATTTTTAGCTTAGCTTGTAGTACTATATAAGTACACACACTACTATTTATTAATTCCTGATGCAAGACACTACTAACGGTGAAAGCAGTTGTGTAAAAAATTGTACGATCACGCAACCGTCAGGTGCACACAGTGCGCTGGTTGCGACCGCAATATGCATATTGGCGAAAGGTGGCTCAATGGGTTACCGCTTGTCTACATATAAATATTAGGCGCCAGATTTATTACGTCGTAGTGATTCTTTTTTTCTACAATGGCACATCAACTAAGCCAATCAAATTGACACAAACTGCATCGGTATGTAGCGACCGAGTCAGACACAACAACACAGACTATGTACTAAAACTGATACGATGGAAAAACCTGGTAAATACACAGGGTGAAGAACCTGACACAGACATATCTTTCTCTTTATTTGTCTATTTTGGTTTTTTATTTAAAAGAAAGTCTGGAGGTTCCTAGAGCTCACGCTTTCAGTGATTTGGACATGGGATTTCAGATTTGATGGGAGATCGTTGTACTATAATTTTTATATTTTAGAACAAAAATCATTGACTGCTTTTTTTCTGTCACAGTGTCACAAAATTCCCTATAAATATATAGGCTCCTAAGCAAAATTACGTTCTGTAGAAATAAGCCAATATACAAAAAGGCCCATGAAGGAATTCTAAATTAACCAATGAAAACGACAAGTACAAAAGATTTTAACGCGTTGAAAGGAAAGATAACGGGTTGTCAGATGTGAAGCGTTGGCTATCATATTCAGTCATCAAAATTTCAACTAAATATATAAAAAAGAGTGCGTTTCCTCAATAGCAGTTTCAACGGTTTCAGTCCCCAACTCCCCGTCATGTCGGAGACATGATGTACTAAATATGTAATATCAGTCCTATTTATGGCGGTGCGACTGGTGGACATAGATCTTCGTATAAATGAGTAATCAGATATTTATATAAAAGTACAATGACTATTATTGTTTTATATATATTCTTTAATTTAGAAAAATACAATCTTACTTTATAAATTTTTATTTTGAAAAATATTAAACGTCTCAGTCTCGAAGTCTCAGTCTCTCAGACCTCAGGCTCTCAAGTCTCAGAGGCTCATCAGAGTCTCAGACTCAGAGTCGTAAAAGTTTCGGGGTTTGTTTTGTTTGGATTTGTAAATACATATTTTGCTTTTACGAAAATGTAACCAAAACACCAAACCAAATACCACTGAAAACAAAATTTAAAAAAAATACCAAAAAAAGTAAATGCATGATGTATGTATGAAAAATTCTTTCCTTCTTGTTTTTTTAAAGCAAAACCCAACGGAGCTTGCTCGGTATTTATATTACCTATACATGGTTGCAACCTTTAACCTGTTCTTAAATTCAACTAATCAATTATTCTTATCCTTTTGTACAGTCGCAGACTTGTATGCGTTGTAATGCTATATTTAAAAAACAACTATCTGTTTTTGTTGTTGTTGTAAAAACAGGTACGAATCATTTTTAATAGTTGTGAGTCACAGAGTACATTTTAAATATATTTAGGTCTGCACTAAATTTACGATTCCCTGCTACGTAAGAAGGCCATGGTACATATTTATGTTTGATGTGTGGTCCTGAAGAAGGATGCAGTTATTACAAAAAACGACCGTTTTGCAAAAATCAAAATTTAGGATAACAACAAAATTTAGGATTTAAATATGTATTAATTTACTATTTTGATTTACAAATTTTCAGAAGGTTACTATGCTAAATATGTAATTTTAGGGTTTTGGTTTTGGAATATATTGTTCTTTTTCTAGGAGGCTATGAATATATAATAGAATATGAAGAGTTGAAGACAGTCCGGACTCAAGAGTCAAGAACTCAAAACATATCGTCACCGACTCACCGACATACCGTCACACACAGAGTCCCCGGACTCATCATTCTCGGACTCTCGGTCAGTCTGAATAAAATAATATGAATGTTCGCGTTGTATTTAGAAATAAAAGCATCTGGTGGCTGACTGGCTAAATATTAAGGCCCTGTTCTGCAACTCATTATGAAAATGTCAATTTTTGAAGAAGTCCATTTTAGATCGATTTTATACTTTATATTTTCATTATAATTTAAATGGGTACAACTTCATTCTCAAAAATATTTGAGTTCCTTATATACTTTTGAAAAACGGCCATTATTTCCAACCGTCGATTTTTACCCCTACGGCAGCTTTTTTACGTAAACATCAATACCGCCAAAAATAGAAAGAGCAAAAACGAAACCGCGCCATTTCTCAAAACGCGCCATGTATCGTTTTGTTCGTGCTGCTAACTGTTGAGTTTTTCGGTTCATTATCGTTAGAATATATACAGTATAGTCGTATTCTGCAAGTGCCACACCATCTATCAGCCACAATGAGTGCAAACCCATCTCACGCGCCTAAATCCATGGATTCTCTTGTGGAGGAAGATGAGGTCACTGGGACTGAATCGGCTGAAGATTCGTTTGAAGTGGCTGATCAAAATAGCCATATATCTACATTTGACATTGTCATTGTGCACTTTATTTCCATGCACGTTACTTTTCATATTTCGCATAGTAACGCGCCCTTTTCTACGCAAGAACGAATCATATTACATAATGATCAACTACATATCGCCGATTCAATTTTTGAAAGAGTATTTTGTACAGATTCAAAAGAAATTTTACGTGAATTCAAAGAAATGGCCATTCATTCTTTACAAAAACAGCTTTTGAAACTTTTGTAAAAACGCGATTATAGTTGTTCAAAAAAGGTGATTTTGGAAGTATGGTCATTTTTCAAGTTTGAGTTGCAAAACGATTTTTTGAGAAGCTGCCCATTTTGAATTTTGAAAAATGCTCTATATTTTTCAAAAATGAACAGTTTTCACACTTATATATATATATATATATATATATATATATAATATATATACACACACACTATATACATAAT